TATTCTATTCTATTCTATTCTATTCTATTCTATTCTATTCTATTCTATTCTATTCTATCTTAAATTTATATGCTGCCCAACTCTGGGAGGTTTAGTCTACAACCCCAGGTTTTTCTGTTACTCTGCCAACTAGGTATTTATAGTTCCAAGCCGTAGGTTTTTCCAGATCAACCAAAGTTGGATAACTACACTATCTATAGGAATGTGTATAAGGTTTTTTTCCTACCATTCACATTAATTTGGTCACATTTTAATGTGCTTTTCTATGTTCAACTTTTTCATTAAATCCCAATATTTCTTATCACTTGATCTTCCTAGGCACAAAGGAATGAATTCCACAAGATTACATTTCAAACACAGCATAAAGCTTCTGGTGCAATGGAACCTCAATTTAACACACCCCATTTAGCAGAGTTCAAATGCAGTGGACCAAATTTCTGTCTGGACATCCCCCTGAAATAATGGACAGGTCCAGCACATCTGGAGTCAGCTGGATAAAGCAGTTAAATTTACATTAATTTTACTTAAATTTATGACATCTACTGCTATTCATATCATTTGCATAGTGATGTCATTATGCAAATGATGTCAATTGTCTCAATATCATACTTTAATATTTAATGGACAAGGAGGAGTAACAGATATGCCCTTCTTCCAAACAGTCCATTAGAATGAGGCTTAATTTATATTACTAAAGATTTAATCTTGAATTTTTTCTAGCAATAAAAAATGTGATCTAAAAAAACAGCAACCAGGTTTTGTTTTTTGAAAAAAATCAGCTTAAAATCATCAAGGCTTCTCTTTTAACAATACAATTTGTTAACAATTTGATATTTATAGGAAGATGGCACAGGCAAAGGGAAAAATCAGTAGACTGTACATTTTATTAAACAATATTGTAACAAGGTAGGTTTACTTTACATAGTCAATAAAATTAGATGAACTAAGATGGACCTACAACTAATATTGCAATGTAAGAGAACATCTTCAGAGCTCCCAATTTTCAATTTCTCCCATTTTGCTTCTTTTCCCACTTCCAATGGTCAACAATTCATATCACTGCACATCTTAGTCATCACTTCATTGTTCTGTAGTACCCTTTTCATAAGGCTTTTCTTTAATATATTTCCATATTGCAAATCTTGACATCCTTCAAACCCAGTGTTTCTCAACCTTGGCAGCTTTAAGATGTGTGAACTTCAACTCCCAGAATTCCCTACCCAGCATGCTGGCTGGGGAATTCTGGGAGTTGAAGTCCACACAGCTTAGAGCCACCAAGGTTGAGAAACATTGTGTTAATATATTTCCATATTGCAAATCTTGACATCCTTCAAACCCAGTGTTTCTCAACCTTGGCAGCTTTAAGATGTGTGAACTTCAACTCCCAGAATTCCCTACCCAGCATGCTGGCTGGGGAATTCTGGGAGTTGAAGTCCACACAGCTTAGAGCCACCAAGGTTGAGAAACATTGTGCTAACCGATGACTGGAGCCATTTGTGCTATATTAAGCATCCATACTCAGAGCACTGAATTAATATGCCAGCTGTAATTTAATTTGCTGTGATAGCATGTGTTCCTGCAAATGATGACAGTACTATTTGACACAAAACAGACACAATTCTCACCAGCGGTATTCATCATAGTTCCACTATTACATTATCATTCTAACAATGAAGCCAACACTTACCGCTGGTCCCGGGGGACCTCTTGGTCCTGTCACTCCGTCTTTTCCAGTAAAACCCTATGTGAAAAACAGTGAATATTATGGATTAGTTTTCTTTTGCTTTTAGGGACAAGCTAATTATTCAGAAAAGGTTTTAGGCCCACCACCACATTAAAAGTATCAAAAACATTCAAAACCATAATTTCTATACATCCTATGTTATGTAGGATCAGTAACTATGAATTTTATAGCTACAATTAAATACATACTATTGGAATGTACCAAGGGTCTTACAGTTTAAGTATTTATGCTGAACATTAGTGAGAAAGTTTTAGTGCTGTCATAGATATATTTTACTTAGGACTTTCTCCTCTGTAGATGAAGAACAAAGAACTCTGTTAGGCTTATTGCTTATTTTGCTCTTATCCAAAGTCTTTGCTTCTATATGTTTATTTGCTTAATGCAATTCCTCACTGATTTACATCACTGCTATACAAAGCCTATCGTTTCTACATAATTCCATCAGTCATTCACTTTCTTCAAACTTGGTGCCCTCTATATGTATTGGACTACACTGTCCATCAACCCCAATCAGACCAAATAAATCTGATCTAAACAAAAAGCAACTTAGTAGGTTGCGTATTTAAAACCCATTTGTTCCATCTTTTCAAAGCTCAGGGAAGCTGACAAGATGAAGAAGACACATAAAATTATAAATGTTCTAATGTTGTTCAACGTTTTTGTAAAAGATTTCCACTCTCTGGTAGAAAAATTACTCACTCTGTCACCTGGTGGCCCCATTGGGCCAGGAGGGCCGCTTAGGCCTGGGGATCCCTAGGTGAGAAAAAAAAAATCATTAATTAGACAGGATTTTGGAACAATGCAATACAGTTTTAACATATCAGGGCATTTTATTTTAATTTTTAATATATAGTTCATTGAACTGTAGACTCTTTGGATACAGTGGTATTGATTCTGACACCATGCAAAAGAAATGGACCAAAACAAGCAGACATTTGATTTATAATTTCAGCACCCTGTACAGGATTACATTTTGCCTACATGCTGTTTTTTATAGTTATTTGTATTGCTTAGTCTTTTAAAGGCAAATACATTTTATTATCATCATGTTACAAATCTTATTCAGAGCTCACTCTCAAGTAATAGCTAATCATTAAACAATTGCTATTCATACTAAGAAAACCTACTAATGACTATGGATGAGAGAAATTCAGCAATCTGAGAATGGAAGGCTCTTTGGAACTCTAGAACCTTTTATTGTCTTTTAGGACTATGCTGGTCCAGGAGCAGTTCAGCATTTTCTAGAAGTATATTCCCCAAACTAGAAGTAGTTTGAAATGCCCCAGAAATAGGCCTACAAGCATACATCTTTTGGACATATTGCAAATAAATAGCAAAGGAACTTACTGATCGCCCTGGTAGTCCAGGTTCTCCAGCGTCACCTTTTGGCCCTTGACGTCCCTAGAATTGAAAATAAACACAGTTCTTGCTTATTTACTGAAAAACAAAGCCATGGGTTTAATTTACAAATATGTACTGCCATCTTTAAGCCTCAAAACCGATTAGAACAAACAAAAGTTCATTTGGGCCTGTAGTGTGTGGTTGTAGCTACTTACAGAATGGCCTTTTCTTTGATTCACACCGTGAAAACTAAGCATGATGGTTTATTAGACAACACTTTTCAGGATTTCCCTGAAAAGGGGAGCATATTTTAAGCAAGGAAGCAGAACAAATGCAAACTCAAGCACCACAGCATGTCAGTATGTTTATGCAGAATCTACAAATACTGCAGTGTTAAGAAATCTGATTAGGGCATGAATACACCTTGACTCACAGTAGATATCTGAATATACTAGGAAAAAGTATGTCAAACTGTGATACCAACTACAGTCAGAGAAGGTTTATTCTATTATGCTTTGCATCTTATCCTGTCCAAACAGGCTTTCTTACTTACAGGCTCTCCTGTAATGGAAAGCCCACTTGGCCCCTGTGGTCCCGGTGGTCCTTGAGGGCCTGGAAGGCCTGAATCTCCTCGAGCACCTGGTGGCCCCTGCAAGTAGCAAAAGAAAGAAACAGAATTGTTAATCTTCCAAAGAACGTATGTAAGGATGGAGCCAGGTTAAGTCTTTGGTGACAAAATTTACCCAGCAATTAAACAATTGCTTTCTCTAACATGATTCCCTCCAGAAATGTTAGACTACATCTCCCATCTTCCGTAGCTATGATGATGTGCCTATCATTCTATGAAGGGAATATCTAAAGCTATGTACTTTCAAAGATTTCCTTATGAATAAAGGCAGTATAGACATTTTTAAATATATGAACATAAAAGAGAAATGGATGGGAATGGCACCACTTGGAAGTGTTAGGAACACACTTTCTACAGACACTGCTGTGGATAAATGAAATTCCTTCTATTTTCTAGGGAATTCATCTACACTTGCATTGCTCAGGGTAGCCTATATGAACTAATTCCACAGGATAGGAATTGAAAAGGAAAAAAAATGTGGCAGAGCTGGCATCCTTACTTTTTTAACTATCCTATATTCATATGGGATTCTCTAATGCAAATGCCAGTAATAAAAAAACTATTGGGGAAAAAAAAGTAAAATGCCCTGTCTAGCATTCCGTGTATTTTCAATAGGATGCTATAACTAATTATAGTTCTCAGATGCATAAGGTGAAATGTTACAAATGTCTCCAAACATATTCCTCCTACAAACACATACAGAAATGTTATATAGCTAAGGATAGTGGGAGGCAACCAGGGACATCTGCAGCAAAGGTCAAAAAAGTCAGGATAGCAGTTGATTGAAGCCCTGCCCTCTTTTTTACAAGCAGTGGTGGTCATGGCCACCATTCTGATTTATTAGAACTCCCCCCCTGCCCTTGGATGACCCCAGATGCAACCCCAGCAGAGAGATCTAATCAGGCATAGTAAAGGTATTTAACCTTACTGAAGTCTTTTTAAGAAATCCAGCTAAAAATATGAATGTGTTAAAGTTCAGTCCTATACATTATAACTCAGATGAAATCCCCCCAAGCTGCATAAGTTTTCCTTCCAGGTAAGCATGTGCAAGATTTCAGACTCATTTAAGCTAAGTACTCACAGGAGGTCCATTTAAGCCTCTTTCACCTCTTACACCGCTGGCACCTCGAGCTCCCTAAAACCCGGGACAACAAACAAACACATGATTACAATAGACAGGGAGACAAACAAATAGCCACATTAACAGATAAAGTGTTTTATCTGTTTTAAATTTTCGTGTTTTAAATTTTACATGCAGAACATCATATCTTCTCACAATTTCCTGAAGGACCTAGCAGTATTCATTCTCAAAAGAAGGTCTTCCAGCACAGTCCAAAAAAGATTGCCGATCTTTAGGATAAAAATAGTGTCTATGGGCTACAAACTGCAAATTTTATTTCTTCAGGAGAGCAGAAGTGATAAAAACAAGGAAAGAGGATAAAATGACTTACTGCTAAATATTTGTTATTAAACACTAATACATTACAATATGTCAAAATAATTTTCTCATGTTTGCTTTTTCTCTGAACAGTGTGCCTTGCTCTTCTACAGCAATTTCAGAAGACAATAAAAACCATCTCTTTCACCTTATTTAAACAGCCCTTAGCAGTGGCATTCATCTGATCTGCTTAAATCATATTTAATCAGTTTCACATCTTTGTCGCTTCTGTGGAGCTAGAAGTTAGGACATTTTTCCCCTATAAGTTCCTTGGTCATTTCACTCACTTCCTCCATCACCTGTGCACAGTTCATTCACAAATGTGGACTAATGGTATGTGGATGATAATAGTATTTCCATGTTTGTGTTACAGAAGTGCACTGTCATTACACAGGCCAAGACATGTAACTGTGTCAGTAAGAGTGGTTCCTCAGCCCCATTTCTACTCTAGGAAATGAGCATTCAAATGATGACTACTGACTGCAGTTACTGTGCCAAAACTAGAACTGAAGTTAACTACTTGCCAGCATAAAAGATGATGTTCTGGCCTTCAACTGATCCTGACCCAGACTCAGTGAAGCTCTCAGAAGTTATACACAGACATAACCATATGGCTCATAATCACAATATATTGATTTTTGCTTACAGCAGGTCCTGGAGGTCCTGGAGCCCCCACACTGTCTTGTACGCATGTACAAGCATTTGGCAACGATGGGCATTTTGCTTCATCCCTCTGAAATTTAAATCAGAACCTGTCATTTTTAAAATGATCTTTACTGACAGATAAAACAACAGTGATCTTACAGCTGGATAATTTACACTATAACTACTTCTGATATCGAAGTCTAGTAAAATTCAGCATCAAGGTAGTTGTTTCCAAGAAGTATTTTAATTGGGGACATGATTAATTCATTTCAGAGAGAGAGAGAGAGATCAGCCATCACAGTCTTGATGCTTACACCTAGTATATAAAAGCAAGAACTGATTGATCAGCTGGGAAAACACATACTTTGCACATGTTTACAGCACTTTGTACTTGCTTCACATATTCTAGGATTTATCCTTCAAAATATATTCTAAGGCTGAATTCTGCTCACTCCCATAACAATTAACACATGAATTTAAAGTAAGATTCAATTTTCATTAAATAGAAAAAATATCTAAAATATCATTTTAATACAGCTTCTATTTTACGCTCAGTATCAACCCAATTAAATGTTGATCTATATAAATATTGATACATAGTTATGAGTTGAAGTGGTAACTTTCCTATAATCTGCTGCTAATATTAAAGTAAGAAGGACATAATTCGCACTGTATTCTGAGAGCTGTCACTGCTTACATTCTACTTTTTAGAACAGTGGGATATAAAGCAAAATCATGTCATTAAATAACATAAATTGGTTTCAGCAGAAGACGGTGTTGGCAGAAGTCTGAAGAAGACTCAGTAAAGAAAGGTACTTCAGTGGAAATCTTCCAAAGCACAGTAGTTAAAATCATTGAATTATTCCAGTAAGATTTTGTATTTCTTTCTCTCTTCTCTGGGAAGAACTTTCTTAAGTATCTTCTGCCTGCTTGTTTTTCCAACCCATTTCCCTTCACTGTTGATTTATTCTCTCTCTCCTTCAAAATGAGCTTGGACCATTGCATGTTAACACAAACTCAGCTGGCTGATTTTTGCCTAATATTCTACATTAGCAGTAGCTACAATTGGTTGTTTCACTGTTCCATACCCTAATCATCTGAAGATTCAACCCCAAAGTCCACAAGAGACTTATTTTTTTAAAAAATAGTAAGTCAAATTTTGATGAATGGTAAGGGAATACTAGTTTTTTAAGAATACAGTCCTAGATTCTGAAAACAGAATGGAATGTGACAAGGCAGCTAAAATGCTTTTTCCACAATACTGGTGCCTGGACGGGAATATTTAGAATATGTTCTGGTAAAGTTACATTCCTGCATTCAGTATGATTCAGAATCACATAGACAATTTGTTATTCCCAAGAGATCATTTAAGCCTGTTATCCCACCCTGTTCTCTTGGAGGAGCTAGCTCAGCCTCCTGATATGAAGCATTAAAATTGTCAGAACGTTTCCTGTATGTTTACCTTAGAAGGAATGTCACAGCATCTGTCTCTGCTGGTCCAAACTGCATTGCACACAATGTCAAAGCTCTGTATATCAAACTATAAAACAGAAATGGAAGTGTATTGAAAGTTATATCTGAATGAACCTGCAAGTACAAAATCGTGCAATTTAGTGTTAAGCAAAATGAAATATTGTTTTTCTTTTAGCTATACCAGCAATGTGCCATTCCTACCACCACACTGATGACAAAAACATAGGACATGAGGAAAGTGGTCACAAAGTAGCTCACTTCAGGTCCCTGTGGTATTTTACGTGGCTCCTTTAAGACTGGATTAATACATAATTGTCCTTCAACTTTAAGAGCCCTGCCAATTATGTGAAATAACCTACAACCTTTCCCCTAGTCCATTACAGAGGCAAAACGTGGGCAGAGTGTTTCCTGCCCACTCACCTTTCCCTTCCAAACATACCCATATTCACACTGTCTGTCTGTCTGTCTCTCTGTCTGCAAAGCCATTCCTCCTGACAGGCTGCTAAGGGGCTGACTGGAAAGAAAAGTTGAATTCTGAAACTATTACCAAAAGGAGAATTTCAAAAGCCTTCCTTTCACCATGGTATCAAAAACAACTAGTTAGCATAGTACTGGACTATAGACATGACCTAGCAAGCAACTAAAATTTCATTTCATGGCTTATCCTTGGGCTAGATTGTGTGAAACATGAAATGAGAGCTAGAGAGTATGGCAGGCAGGTTCCATTAGTGGATGGAGACACCAACAAACACAGGAGGAACACACTGAAACATGCATTTCATCCCACCTTGAGGCAGTAAGAAAAAGTATTTCCAAAGTAGCTAAGAATCACATAACATTTTTACTGTTATGTATTATCACTGATTTTCTGTTGATCTTGTGGGATGGATAGGTGTGTACAGAACAATAGAGACATAGCAACATCATTAGAGTGGGAGGTACTATATATCAGATTTTCCCAACCTTATGCCTTCCAAATATATTAAGACTGCAATATCCAGAATTCCCAAGCAGCATGGCCACTGACTGATATGTTTATCATTAGCAATGAAAGTTACTTAAAATAATAAACATATTGTTCCCAGCCAAAGACTCTGTGACTGTTATGATTGAGTCATGCAAGTGACTCAGAGGTTGATGCTACTAAAAGAGAAGTTCTGTTTCTATTCTAAGACAAATATTGTGGGAATATTCTGCAGAATATGGGAGAATTTTGATCGCGGCAAATAGTCTGCATATAATCTAGGTACTGTATCTGAACTCAGACAACTGAGAATTTTTCTATCAAATTTTTAGAGCTGCAGCTTTTGGGCAATATGGAACTCTGAAACTCAAACAGTTATTCACGCATTCATTTAAAATGCTTGTATGCTGCTTCAATCACTTGACTTTAAGCAACATACAGGCTAAAGAAAAACAAAATCAGTAATATAACAATAATATTTATATCAGTAATAATCATAATAATCAGCATCATAATAGACTAACATCCACCTCGGGTATTCCTCTACTTACTCCTCGTTCTTCTTTGTTAAAAACATAGCTTTTAAAAAGAGTATTGAGGACTGAAGAGTGAGTAGAGGATGTCCTGAATATCAGGAGTCAGAATGCAGATCTTATTTTGGGTGGCAAGACATTCCATAAGAGAAGAGCTCTAGCAGAGAATCCTCACTTCTAAGTCCACTCCCACCTCACCTCACATGGGTTGAGTGAAGCCACTGAAAAGGCCAGCAGGAAAGTCACACTCCCCTATCTAAGTGACCAGTGTGGTTTCTATCCCGTACATGGACCTGGACTCTGGAAAAGATCCAGATAATCCATATTTTCTAGTCTCTTAGATGGCAACTCCCCCCCTTTCAACAACTTTCTCCAAAAACAAAAGGTTGGAGATTGGGGGAGAGTTATCCAGAATAGTTGAGTCCAGGGCCAGCCCTTCAAAGAGGGGGTGTACCAGTACCCATTTCAAGGACATCAACATTGGCCAAGCTGCAATGGCTGCAGGGCACAGTCTTTATCTGAAATGAAGGGTTTGAAGGGGAAAGTTTTTAAATCTGAGATCATATCAGATTCCATTCAGGAGCTGCTGTGTGCATAGACATGTATAAGTTAAGTGTGTGAGAAGGGGATTCTGAACAAGACAGTGAGAAGAAACTTCATTTCCTCTCCTGACAATACTGTTGCACATGACTAGGATGAGAGGTATGAGGAAACTGGCAGTGGGAGCATACATCCACAGAAGATCACATATTGCTCAGCACTGGTCTAAGTAGATTTTGTGCATGTGTTACTATTTTGAATGGAACCCAAGCAGGAGCAATTAGTTTTCATTTTCTTCAGGTGTATGTGGAAGAGGAGTTTCACTGTGAAAGTTCATGCTATATAATACATTAATTTTTACAATGCCACTATATTCTTGATTGCCATTAATATTATATCACTTTATTTAGAGCACAATTTGTCATCATTACCTATACATTTTTTATTTATACTATATAAAGGTTCCTAATACTATTTCTAATGCTATGTGGGCTATATGCCTCTCAATCCCATTTATTCAGCCAGGATGTGAATTCAGAAAACATTTTAGGATTTCAGATCAGATTTCAGGAAAGTTTGGGGTTGTACTGGGGATGGGAGAATCCATCCTACTGGCAGAATCTGTTCTGATACCTTTGATAAAGATTTAAAAATTTAATTTATAAAGTTTACTACTTACTGATGCTGTTTTTCTATCACCTTTCTGTAGTTTACCAAGGATTTCATAGCCATCAGTTGTGATATTTCCACCTTCCTTAATAGGCTTTTCCATAATTTCAACACAGTCAACATAAATCTTAGCACTTGTGGATGTTATAACAAGATGAACCTAGAGAAAAATCATTCAGAAGAAGCATAACAAAGACCCTTGTTAATTCTTCATGGTTTTAGAAAGAAAATGTAGTTCAAAGTATAGTTGACTGTATACTGAAATTGTCCAAAGCCTTGAAAGTGAAGAGGAACAAATACATGTGAGTTCTCTGTATCTATAGGTAAAAGTGCCTTTCTTAATGAAAGTGGCAGCTCCTTCCATGCAATGTATTCCAGACAATAAACAAGCAGTGACTCGACAAACCTTTGTGTGCACTCAGGTTTGGAATAGGTCTGGATGAAGGGTGCAACAATCTATACAAACATATGCCGTGAATCAATGCCACCAATCACCATATAAATAAAACACTAGCTAATGATAAAGACAGAAAGACTATAAGAAGTTTTTTTGTTGTTGCTGCTGTTGCTTGTTCCAAAAGTTTATTTTTCCATAACCAGTAAAAGTTTGTAAGAATAAGCCTTCCAAAACTCTGTACTATTCATAGAAACTGAGCGGCAGAAATGAAATGGAGTGGAAATGACATTTTCCAGTTTGTATAAGACTAGACTAAAAAATGTAAAATGATATTTTTACTTATTACACATTTTGGAGAAGCTCTCCTATTATCAAATACTATCCTTCTGCCAGACATTCCTTTCCAAATGTATAGTTAGAAGATTGACTGATTATAATTATGTAGAATATATATATAGTATAAATGAAAATATCAAAGTTATCCCCACAATATTTTTGCAAGCTTTGTAACCACGAGAGTCTTCATGCTGCATATCTGATACATTTTGGAACTGAGAAGCATCTGGTAGAGGCCTTGTTTGGGTAAAAGATATTCTTCCCTTGGAATCCATATAGAACCAAATGCTACGGGACCCACCAAATGCTGAGTAATATTTTTTGAACTACATAAGAAATGGAAAACTACTCCAAACTGATGTTCATCTTCCAAACAGAAGTTTAATACTTATCCCTCTTCAGTTGGTTAAAAACTCCTTAAGTGTTATTTTACCATTTTCACATCCAAATCTGTAATTCAATGCAATTTTTTTAGTTTACTTACAATCATACAGCTTTAAACTGTATGGGGACACTATACTTTTTATAGTAATACAGTTGACTCAGCAGGAAAGACCCTAACTAAATATTTAAAAAGATTTGTTGCACAAAAAGATTTTCAATGATTTCAGATAAAATGATTCAATACTTATTTACTCAGAAATAAGTTTAACTGTGATTAATGGGGTTCACTCAGTAAGTATGTCTAAGATCACAACCTAATTGTTATATCATGCGTTAAAATACTGTAAGAATTTTAATCTGTCCGTTACTTATTGTGTGTGTGTGTGTGTGTGTTATTACTTATTGTATGGCAGTATTGATTACAGCATCTCTTAAACAGCACTCTCAGAGTTTGTTTGTTTTTTTAATGGCATAATAAAATACTAATAGCATCTTCTGCTATAGGCTAATAGGATTGACTACTGAAGAAACTTCAACCTGAACTCAACAGAGCACATGAAGTGAAGAAAACTGTCAACAGCTTACTTAAAAAAAAACAAACAGGGAATAACAGAGATAACTGGGGCTTCATTGAATTAGGCTTGTGGATTAGTTTGTAATCCTGTAAAAATATTGGAATCAGAAAAGTAAATAGAAGAAAATAAGCGGATGGGTATGAAAGTTGTGACAGGGGCTGGAGGAGGTTTTTTAAAGTTAATGCTGGCTCCTAAGCATGATGAACACTAACTACAAACTCCTTTCTTTGCTCTCTAACAACAACAACAACAAAAAAAAAAAAACTAGGGTGGGTCCATTGCTGCAGATGTGCAGATCTCATCAGATCTGGAACTCAACTAATTTCATTTATTCTCAACCTCTCTGGCAGTACACAAGGCCAGCTATATAAAATAAAAACCATACACCTAACATACTAGACAGGTGAGGATAGCAATGGGACAGAGCTGATTTGGCAGGCATGAAAAAAAAGCACCTGGACTAAAAATAGGCTTCTGTCAATTTTTTTTTTCCCTTTTTCTTTTAGAAGTACAAGGCAAAAAGAAAAGTGCCAAGACACCCTGAAAACTTTCCTTTTAAGAAATAATTATCTTGTTTCCTAGGTTAATGAGCTCCTTCCTTCACCAGTCCTCCATTAAAAAAAATGGCAAGGAAGACTCACAGAACTTCCTGTCATGTATAGTTGGCCCATTAACAGCAAGTCAACAAACAGAAAACATCTGTTTCTATGAGTTCTTTGACAAGACATTAACTAGGCCAACATTTTCCCTAAGAGACTTTCATTATGGCAGTGCTACTCAAAACCCAAAACAGTATGCCAAAGCAAATGTTTCACAAAAAGCCAAGTTAGCTATTTTTCAGTGAATGGAAATGCAACTCACTGAATTAACACCACAGACATTTTTTATATTCTGGCAAGATACTTCCACAGAATTTATCCATCTGCAGAACTGTGATAAACATATCCTTAGAGATCTATCTATGACTCTCTGCTTCTGCCATTCTGCTTCAAACACAACTGTCCTCCTGATCCCATAATACTTCACATTTACTTCCATTCAAAGATAAGTCTATACTTGCCTTCAAATAATATTAAGAAGAAGAGCCATATTCACATATGGATGAAAAACTGCTTATTATTCATTGTTTTCACCTCAGTATGTATACTGGGTTTTTTTAGTTTTTGCTGCACTATTGTTCAATGGTCTCAGCTGAAGAAATAGGTAAATGGTTACATTACAAACCAAGAAGATGCACTGTGCTAATAATAGTTAGAAGATATGAAATTTGAGATAAGGATGCTGATCTGTGTAGTTTAAAGCAGCTCTCACAGCTTCTTCCTCTCTTTATTTTCAAACATGCTTGGAGATTAACCATCCAATCCCATATACAAGGAAACCAATGATACAGTTATTTATTTACTTACTGGTAGCAAGTATATACTGTTGCATTTACCATCTAGGCATACTATTTTTGAGTGGAGGCTTTTATTTGTTTTCAAGCCGATATCATTATTCATAATAATCTACAGAAAATGGTTTTACCTTGTGGAAACTTCCATAAAAGAGTTTCTTTATTTCATCACCTTCAAATGCTACTGTCTGAATTTCTCCTCTTGTGTCCTTGTTAAAGAATGATAACACTTTGCTGGAAGCTAGGGAGAAATACATTATATTATTGATATGGATAGTTCATTATAGGGCTATATAATGTTTCAACTCCAAAAGATGCTTCAGTTCACAAAGGGCAGAAACGTAGCACCTGTCTCTAACTTTTAAAGCAGCTGTATCATTTCATGGCAGCTCAAAACAGCTCCTTAATCTATGCACACCCATTTCCAAACCTGATTGATACCAATTCCTTAATTAGGAATTTTGGGTAGCAATATTATTATATTCCATACAAATATAGTTCCCTTTCAGAGCATAAATCATCCAATCAGCTAATTCTGGTAATCCAAAGGGATGCTTTGAAACGAATCAAACACTGAATTGAGGTGCTTAATGCAACACTAAGTGTCTACGGCTGAAACATGAGAAAACATGAGATGAAACATCTTGCAATCTTCAACTTGCCAATTTTTGAGTCAGAACCCGCATACCACGTGGAAGAATCATGATTTATGGCAATCTGAAGAAAGGCTTTTCCAGTATAAATATGAAAGTAGAACTTCCTAGCATATTTACTCTTTTTAATATATAAGTAGAATATATTAGAGCTAGCAAATTCTGGGAGTTGAAGTCCATACAGCTTAAAGTTGCCAAGGTTGAGAAACACGAAACTAAAGCAATATCTTATATACACTGATAGCTCACAAGTGCTGACAAATTTTACTGCTACTGCTGGCAGGCTATCAATCTTTAGACGGGCTCACAAAGGAGAGCCTGAGATAACACTCAGATAAACAAAACCTTTTTCTTGCCTAATTTTGTAAAAAATTATTTAGAGTATTATTTCAGGTCAGAATTATTGGAATACTTTCTCCAAATTAATTGTTGTTCCCTAATTCTCTAAAACCCTACATTTTTAAAGTTCAGATCAAAGCACTGGCTGAATTGTTTCACATAAAGATTACAATAATTAGCTGTGGTTTGGCAAACCACAACCCATGCAAACATTATGCAAATTGCATGTTGATAGAAAATTAGTTGCAATCTGCCTCACGATGTTGTGCTTAGCTGATTTCTGATACTGAATAAACTGTATCAGAGTAAAACGATAATATTGTACTATATAGAGATATTTCAACTTTGAAATATTCAAAAAGTAAAACATCATATGTACATTCCATTCACATAATCAGTTCATAATGCAAACAAATGAGGCAGGAGGAATCATCCTTACGGTCAAGAACAACTCCAACTTGTGGTTTGTAATCTCTGTCTGTTATCTGCCAAATTGCAAATGGTTCAGTAGAGGTTTCCGAGAGAAGACGGAATAAAAATATGATAGTGTAAGCCTTTGGTAATCCATCTGGATGAATTTCCCTATTAAAGAAAGCAGAAACATCCCTCACCAAAAAGGCATAATTAAAAATGCTAAAGCACTTCATTACATTTAATCTTTATCACAGTTAATAAGTTTGTGTGAATATCAGTGTGCTGTTTAACAGACAGCACCAAAGATTCTTGCTTATCAGCTGATCACTCATTCCCCTAAAAAAGTGTACTAAAGACTCAAAAGAAACTCATCTTTATATATGAGAATTAAACATTTTCTCCCAAAAAAGAGAGAAAGGCTAATTTTAATCCTCCATATTATTCAGTATATATATATGAGCCTGTTCTTCTTTTAAACCCATTGAAAAGTATTGTGAAATCTGCTGGAATTATATTTAAAGCTAAAGTTTTCTTTTCTTCTGCAGTGGGGATGGATGTGGGAAGAAGGACAGAGTAGTGCTCATAACATCAATGAAAGTCCAGAGTACCTAAAGGGATATTTCCTTCCTACGCATATGTCCAAACAAACAGATAATCTTCAAAGCCTTTTCTCAGAATGCTCTACAACGCTCAGGCAGGAGGCTGCCAGAAAGAGGGCCTTCTCAGTTGCAGCATTCTCACCGTGGAATGCCATCCTGAAGGAGGTTTACCTGTTGCCCACATTGTTATTTTTTCAGTGCCAGGTAACATTTCTTTTTGTTCCAGATATTTAAGGATTTAAGTCCCAGACTATGTACATAATTTTAATGCACTGTATAGAATAGCTATTTTATGTATTTTATTTCCCATACTATTTTTTTTTACTTCATTCTGTTTATGAGAGGCTCCAAAAGGGAGTATATACTATATACACACTCTCTCTGTGTATATGTATCTTGTAGCAAAGTAATACATCTTTACTTCTTACCATTGTTAGCAAGGATTCAGCATTTATCCTTATCAGTATAACCACATCCAGCCAATTTTCCCCAATTAGAAAAGCCTTCAAGAAAAAGAAACAGTATACTTACACAGTGGGCTGGCTAACAAAAGCATTTTTATGAAGCCTGTATGCCACATGGCTCGGGAAAGATCCTGACTGCAAGGAAACTCCAGGTACTGAAGCAAAATGTTTCTCTGTTAAATTGTAAGCTTCCAGCATCCTGAAGCCTATAGGACAGAACAAACAGAAAAAGAAAAAAAGAAACAACAGTGATGGGATTTAGAAACAGTGAACTGAGACATTACTAACCTGGAATATTTGTTTATTATTTCTTACCAGGAGAAGTGTATCCATCCAAGTACATGAGAGGACAAGCTGGAAAAAAGAAACAGATACAGTCATGAATGAGCAGTGGCATTGCTATTAGCAGAAGCAAACAGGTTCCTGCAAACGAATGTCCTTCAGAGATGCAGAACTACAAATACCACCATTCTTAGCCTCCTTTGATATGGTAACTGTGGTTGATTACTTTTATGGCCAAGACTGTTTTCACGGCACAAAGATAGGGAATGCTTTTAGAAAGTTTTCAGAGAGAAGCTAAATGGGTTTATATGTCAACAGTTGCTTTTTATCAGAGTCACGCATCAATCTATTTCCATTTCCATTTCCATTTCCATACCCATCTGCAATGATCTATATATGTATCTATTCTGAAGGATTCCATAATTCAGGTTATGGTTAAGTTTCTCCTTCAGAGACAGGTAACCCAGAAATTCACAGAAATATGCCTGAGAAAGAGAGAGGACCTCCCTGGTTCAACTCAATATGCTGCTCTCTGTTGTAACTCAAAAAATGCCATTAGATAAGCCATTCCATCTCAGCTAAGAATTCCAAGGGTAAAACAGATAAGGATGCCATGGAATGTTAATATGGGCTAAGGGTTATGCGTTCATGTTTATGCTCATTTTAGGAAAACAGCAAGTTGCCTTCTAAAGAGTCAGAGCTTTAGTTCAGCAACCTCCAAATTTTCTACAATGAGCATTAGTGATTTTCCACAGTTTTGTATTAGAATCATTCCAAGCTCTACCTGGATTCGCAAGGGATATATCTGAGAACTCTTGTAGGCAAAGCATGCATTCCACCACTGACTCTTCCATTTTGATTATATAACAGTGAGGAAAAATATTTATTTTTTCCTTAATAAAATAGTAGGTATGTTATAATATGATGTACACTGGATTAAATATGTCAACCCATCCTGAAAAAAAGATTACAGGAATACTATTTTACTTACTTGAGGTAGCTGTCTCACAAACAAACGTAATAAGGTTATCCTCAATCTTTTCAAAAGCATCAAAGTCGTCAACTATAAAGACATGACGTTCACTTGGCTGGCTTGCAATTTTGGCCAGTTCATGGTAATCAACATCAGCGACACCAATAACAAATACACTGAAACCTGCAAAGACAATATTGGTTGAAATAATATGAACATAGGATTGTTTCTCCAAGTTCTTTTAAAGAAATATGCTCAGTGACCCACCATATTAGGGCAACAACCTGATACTGCCCAGGTATTTGGGGGTTGTAGCTCTCAGAAGTCTCAGGTAGGAAGTCAGGGAGTTGCATTACCGATATATCTACTGAGTGCCAGTTTGAAGAACACTGTTAGAATGAATATGTGAAGTGAAACTAAACTGTATCTGTACATTTACATTTATGTTGTAAATTATCTTGCTACAGCGGGAAATCAGAGATCTATTCAAAAGAAGGAAAAAGCTTTCACTTATAGGTATGTTTACACTGAAGAAAGAAACAGGATAATGTATAGAAATTTTAAACTGAAACTATTAATAGTTTCTTTAATCGTTAGAATATGATTAAGATCTTACAACATATTTATTAAAGAAAAAAATGTTGAATAATGGAAATGATTTAAAAAACCATTTTGGGTTGCCAAAGATCAGTTAACAAAACTGAGAAATGAAAAATATCCTACCTTCACCCTGTACATTACTTTAAATCTAATTTTTTGTTTTTTATTTTATATTCAGCCTATTTTTTCAGGTTCTCCTGATTTCTCTTTCTCAGATAGCTGATATTGCCTACAGGTTCTCTCCTAGAATTTATCTATATTTCCTTTGTTAGTAAGTTTTGGGCAATCTTATCCTCTTAACAAAGCTTGCCTATTATTTCTTTGCCTCTCTCCTCTGAAAATAAGCACTGACTCATTGGGCACATTAAAAATATAACTGAAGATTAACTTAAAAAAAAAAGAACCTTACTTTGTCTTTATATATCCTTCCTTGCATGTAAGCCAGCTTTGAGGAGGGCCATGCTAATGAAAGATACTTTAACTGAATTCTGAAACATTTCAGAAAAATGGCCTTCCTGGTTCTAGCCTCTAATTTGAAGAATATGAGAGTTCTCACACAATCAGAGAAAAGCAAATAGCAGATCTGGCCATTATCCAAATAAAATATGGTGGAAACTGGGCCTCCTACCTAAAAGGGAGAACTCCCCAGCCCATTGAATAGCATGAGAAAGAGGTGCAAGAATTTGAAATTGGATCTCACTATAAATAGGACCTGCATTTGATACACAACAGTCACTGGAATTCTTTCACAATAGCTTTTTATATATATATATAAATTGTAATATCTTTTTTGTCAAACATTCTGGGAAAGTAATTTAAAAGCAATATAAACTATCATTTATTTATCATATATTAAATATGTCATAAATAACAAATATTATTTATCATATTTATATAGCCCCCTACATCACATAAAGTGCACCCTCCTTCTTTTGCTTGTTGTAGAATTTTACTGAGGGGGAGGACCATATTGTGAACAATTTAAGGAAGAATTTCTTTAATTTCAGTGTAACCAACCTTCCATTTTCATGTGTGACAGAAAGGAGGGGTGTAAAACTCTTGATGATGTAAAGGATTATGATTAATATGAAAGGAAACTGTAAGCACAGACAGTCCAATAGAGATGATGAACACTTAACAGCTGAAATTCGTTATTAAGATAAGTAGGTACCTAATCTGCAGAAGTTGGGGATAAGGAATTTATGGTCCTTTGGATGTCGCTAAACTATATCTATTATTCCTCTCTATCACCCATGCTTGTTAGAGGATACAAGGACATGTCAGGCAGCATTATCTGTTGGGTTAAGTTCTCTACAACAGGCACAGACCTGTTTTTGCTCTGATGTAAAACAGTAAATGCAGATACCAGAAAGATTACATTACAGTGAAAGAAATGCATAATTCATTTTTCATTTGAAATATAGAGAGTGATCTATGGTAAAAAAATGAGATAGAAAATTGTTTGAAATGATAAAATATATTTGAAATGACTTTATTTTCCAATCCCACTAGAAGTTGCAATAGTTGGTAGATTTATATCCTGTCTTTCATTCAGGAGCTCAAACCATAATATTCCTCCCTCCCATTTTTCTCAGAATAAAAATCCTGTGAAGTTGGTTGGGCTAAGACAGTGTGTGTGTTCAGGCTGGTGGGTTCTGCAGAATTTGAGAGCTGTGGCAATAAACATACAGATACAGTTACATTAAAGATATCCAGTACATTGCTAAGCCTTTGCACCATTTAGTAATCAATCCTAAAAGAACTAGCACATAAATAAGTTTTCACTAAGATTTGTGTTCTGTACTTTGCTTGCCAAATGGAGAAAAGTCTTGGAGTTCTGTTCACTGCCACTGACTAAAGCAAAGGATTATGGCTTTAAAAATCACATACATTATAAGACCAGTATCGCCACACACAGGAGGTCTGGCACTTCTCTGATAACAACTATCTCATTCTCAAATTGGAGTGGGCTCCACTACACATCTTAAGTTGGGGTGGGTGAGTGGTGGAAATATGTACAGAGATAGGCAGTATTTCAAGTACTCTGAACAATGCACTACTTCAGGCACAAATGGCTATGAAGCACTTACAATCTGTACCTATTCCAACCATCCATGATACAGAATCTGATATTTGATGAAGTTTGCAGAATTATGCTCCCATTAAATCCTGTCACCCAAATATGGCTTACCAGACTGCTGTATGATAGCTGCAGCTTTCATCACTTCATCTTGTGACCGACCATCTGTTACGACAACAAGGACCTTGGGAACTCCTTTCCTCATGCCTCTGTCCCATGTAAGTACCTTGTCTTTGATAAATGCAAGTGCCTTTCCTGTGAATCAAAAAAGAGCTTTATTTAGGTGATTCACCTAAAACCATTAGCTTAGAGGGGGGAAACTAACACTAGAATAAATTCTAAATTAAAACCTATGCAGTAATAATATGAAAAATCCCTATTTCTTGAAATGAATATTCAGCAGTTCTATTAAATTACCTGTTCGTGTGTTCCCTCCTCTGTACTGAATATACTGAAGTGCTCCCAGGGCCTGTGCCTTATCGCCATATGTGTTCAGATTGAACTCAGATTTTGGATCATCACTGTATTGCACAAAGGAAACCTAAAATGAAAAACAGAAAATGTAATGTTATATTGTTAAAGAAAATACTATTCAACAGCACATATTCTATAATCTTATATGTCTTAAACACATGTAAATCTTATATATAAATATCTTATATATATGTGTATGTGTGTGTGTGTATATACACACACACACATACACA